TTTTTCTGCTGCAAACATAATATAGTAAATGATCCATCCATCAATCTGATTGCAGTGAATTTATCACAATAGAGAAAGCGAAAGCATTATTCACTGAGCCATTCTCAGTGCAATGCAAGTATTTTCCAGAAATTTCTAGCCAAAATTTTATCCAAATAACGAAAATTGTTTTGGATTGCAGTTTTTTTTCTAATTTTTCAACTTTCCTTTTAACGCATTTGTCCATCTTGTCTAGTTTGAATGATTTGCTAATATCCTGAAATGCAAATAGCACAGAAAGCTCGTTTTTTTTTTATCGGCACAGAAAACTTTTGTTTTTATTTTTAATTACATGAAATAAGGCAGGTTTTAGGCGGTTTATAAGTGATTTGTAAATAGTTTATAGGTGGTTTATAATTGGTTTTAAGTGGTATTTAAATGGTTTGTGAGTGGTTTGTAATTGGTTTGTAAGTGGTTTGTAATTGGTTTGTGAGTGGTTTGTAATTGGTTTGTGAGTGGTTTGTAATTGGTTTGTAAGTGGTTTGTAATTGGTTTGTGAGTGGTTTGTAATTGGTTTGTAAATGGTTTGTGATTGGTTTGTAATTGGTTTGTGAGTGGTTTGTAATTGGTTTGTAAGTGGTTTGTAATTGGTTTGTGAGTGGTTTGTAATTGGTTTGTGAGTGGTTTGTAATTGGTTTGTAAGTGGTTTGTAATTGGTTTGTGAGTGGTTTGTAATTGGTTTGTAAATGGTTTGTAAATGGTTTGCAATTGGTTTGTAAGTGGTTTGTAAATGGTTTGTAATTGGTTTGTAATTGGTTTGTGAGTGGTTTGTAATTGGTTTGTGAGTGGTTTGTAATTGGTTTGTGAGTGGTTTGTAATTGGTTTGTGAGTGGTTTGTAATTGGTTTGTGAGTGGTTTGTAATTGGTTTGTAATGGTTTGTGAGTGGTTTGTGAGTGGTTTGTAATTGGTTTGTAAATGGTTTGTAATTGGTTTGTAATTGGTTTGTGAGTGGTTTGTAATTGGTTTGTGAGTGGTTTGTAATTGGTTTGTAAGTGGTTTGTAATTGGTCTGTGAGGGGTTTGTAATTGATTTGTAAGTGGTTTGTGAGTGGTTTGTGAGTGGTTTGTAATTGGTTTGTAGGTGGTTTGTAATTGGTAACTAAAGCAAGAAGATGTTTATTGTTGCTTTGTTATAATGGTTTGTCATCAAGCACACTCTTTACCTCTTTTCTAAGATTTAAAATAATATACTAAAAGGATAGGTTTTAATTGACTTCGGTTTTTCCATTTACAATCAAAAATTATATGTTGTGTTCATTGATTTTGATTTTGTTGCTTTATCTAGCAAGTTAAGCGAGATTATTTTTGAAATTATTCACTTTCTAATCCGATAATTGTTTAATTCAGTCGATTAAAATTTGTTGAACAAATACGAGTTACATGCTGTGCCAAAGAGTTTCATCTCATTTTATGCTGAGAATTTATTAATTTTAATTTAAACAAAAAAAGAAAAAACTTGTAATATGATTCAAGGCAGAAAGATTCAGTGTTAAGGAGAAAGTAATTAAAAATATTAAAATGAAAATGGCTAGATAAGGCATATTCTGGTAAAAGTAATTTTATTGTTTACTATTTTTTTTCTTTGTTTTTTCAAGCATAAACAATTTCAATTCAAAACATTAGTAGATGGTAGATGATTCCAGCTGGTATTAAACATGAGTTTGGCATTTGTGGTTGGATACTTACAATTGTGGCATATGTTGCCGTCTTATTAGCGCTACCATTTTCAGCTTGTGTTTGTGTTAAGGTTTCAAATTTAATTGGTTACTGATTTCTTACAATTAAAAAATTTTTTTTGATGATTTTTAAAGAAAATTTTAAAATAGATGAGAATAAGATTAAAAGTAGAAGGTAAAAAGAGAGATAGCGAAAAAGAAAAGTAATGAGAGATAAAAAATAATTTTTGAAAAACTTAAAATTTTGATCGAATTTTTCTCTACTTTATCATTTTATCATTTATGAATTTTTTTTTGTACATATGATTAACATAATAAGTAGTATTTTCAGTGAAATTATTTCAGATTGTACAAGAATATGAGTGAGCAGTGATATTTCGTTTGGGAAGATTAGTGACTGGTAAAGCTCGAGGACCTGGATTATTATTTTTTTTTTCTAGAAAAATTTTTATTTTTTTAAATTTATATTTGCACTCGGAAATATTTTATAAAATTTTTGTATGCTTTTTATAGGCTTATTTTTTATTTTGCCATGCATTCATTGCTACAGGAAAGTGGATTTACGTGTTGTATCATTTGATGTACCACCACACGAGGTATTTTTTTACTTATTTATTTTAATTTTATTATAATAATTTACTTCCTTTTTTCTTTCACTTAATTCATAACTTAAAAAGATTTGTATGTTTTTAATTATGTTTAATTGAGTCACTAGCATAACAATGTAATAATTTATTGATAGCATTAATGTTAGATTAAATTTTTCATCAAACAAAGCATATCTTTTCTTAATAGCATTATCTATCTTTTAATTTAATTCTTTTTTATAATCATTTATCAAAAATGTTGAAATTTACATGTCATACTTTTTTTTTTACAAATCATACATGTGCCAAAAAGATTTACTAAAAAAGAGGGTTCTTCATAAGTTCCAAAAAAAAATCCAAAGTCAGTCAATATTTTTTCAGTTTAAATAAAACTTTACTCCCGAATTAATTAATTATGATTACCTGGACACTAATCCAGTTCAAAAACCAAATTTTAAATGTCTTTTTAAATAATAGAAAAAAAAAACTAAAACACTTTACAAAAATAACATAAAAATAAAAAGATAAAAAAAAAGACACAACAACAAATAGAGTTAAAATGTATAGCCGATTATTGTGGAACACTCATAAAACAATTAAAAAACTACCAGTGAACAAAAAATTACACATTAAATAAACTAAAAATAAGTAATATTATCTAAATACAACCAAAACCAAAATCAAACTTAATATTATAAAGAATAAAACATAACCTTATCAACACCAAAATTCTTAACACTAAAAAAAAAAAAAAAATAACTAAACCAACAACTCCTGATATAAGAACAAAACACAAAAAATAAAAAAAAAAAAAAACGTAATAAATAAGCAAAGAAAAAAACAACAATTCAATACGAAGCAAAACAAAAATTATACTTAAAAATAAAATATTAAAAACAAAAAAAATAAAAATACCTAAAGAATAAACCTTCTGATTAAGAGTCAAAAATTCTAAATTTAAAATAATCTTTTAAATATGGTAATTCCTCGAAAATATGAATCTCAAGAGACTTAAAACAAATTAAAATAATTAAAAGGATAATCAGTAGGATAATCAAGTATTCAAGCAAAAAAAAAAAAAAAAACTCGAACAAAATACATAGCAAAAAAAAATATAAAATATTATCCATTATAACCTGATAGTTACTAAATCATACGAAACTTAACAGAACAAAAATAGATCCAAATATTAAAATAACACCAAACAACTTATTCGGTACAGAGCGCAAAATAATAAAAGAAAATAAAAAATACCATTCAGGTACTACATGAGCTGGACTAGCTATTGAATCAGATTCAAAAAAAAATTATAGGGTCACTTAAATTGAAAGAAAAATATAAACTAAACAAAATTCTAAAAAATTATCAAAACCATCCTTGAATCAAAAACTAGGAAAAAAATGAACCTTATCATAGCTGCCATGACAATATAATCTTGATCTAGATCTAGTAAAATGTAAAAAATGAAAAATAATTAATTAAAACTAATAACAATCAAGGAAAAATAAAATGAACTGAATAAAGAAATTTGAAAGTGTTTTCACAAGCACCAAAACTACCTCAAATCCATCAAACCAAATATTTTCCTAAATATGGAATAGAAGTTATTAAACTAGTAATAACAACTGCCGCTCAATATCTTCCCTCAAATTAAAACCTAACCAGTAAAAGCAATCCCCATCAAAACTAAATACATAATAACACCAACTCAAACATTTGAAAGACGATAACTTCCATAAATTAATCCTTTAAAAATATGAAAATAAATAAATAAAAAAACATAGAAGCACTATTAGAGTGTATAATGCCAAACTAATTAATGAATAAGTCAACCTAAATTAATCTCACTAAAAGCATCTCCGACCGTATAATAAAAAGTCAAAAAAAAAAAAAAAAACCAGTAATAATTTGGGATATTAACATAATACCCAACATACTCCCAAAATTTCATATATAACTTAAACTAAAACTAGCAGGAAGAAAAATTAAAGAATTTAAAAAACCAACTAAAATTTTGGAAAAAATCTTCTAATCCAAAAAAAGAAATTTTAATTTAAACTAAATCCAAAAAAAAAAATATTATTCTAGCTGAGCCGTAATCAGATATAGTAAAATCTATTTAATATTTTACAAACCACGTATAAACCTATCACAACCCAAACTTAACCTAATTAAAATTAATAAAATAAATAAGACTAAAACTACTCAAAAAAAAAAAAAAAATACAATAAAAATTAAAATCATAACAAATACCTAAAAAATTATAACCTAAATTAAACGAAAAAAGATCATAATCAAAAAAAAAAAAAAACAAAAAAACAAAAAACAAAAAAAAAACAAAGACAAAAAAATAACTGTAATTATAATAATAATAATTACAACTAAGAAGACTACAAAAATAAGTCAATAAAGAAAAAATACCACTTAAAAAAATTAAAACAATAAAATAAGAATATCATACATGAACACCTAAGGAAATGCAACAACTTATAAATAAAATTCCTAAACACATTATAATACAACTTTTTATTGGATCTCAATCTAAGAATTTTAAACAAAAAAATAATACAGATAAAAGAAAAACTAAGATAAAAAATAATAAAAAAGTCAAAAAAATCAAAATAAAAAATTTTACAACTTCAAAATAGAATAAAATCTTTTAAAAACTAAAAGTTTAAAAGTTAACTTAAATCTACAATTAATTACTATAATAACCATAACCTACACGACGATATCTATAACTAGGAATATTCATACCAACTACCTTTCAACATAAACCGAAGCCTAGCACTCCTCTAAAAAAGAATCAGACATAGGAGGAACATTAGAGATATAAGAAGGACTATGTCCATTATAAAAAGAAATCCCCAAAAAACGAGAAAAAAGAAAAGTAAAATCAATCATTAAATAATTAAATAACATAAAACCGATAAAAAGATTGACAGAACCTAAAGAACAAAATGCCTGAAATATAGAATAACAATTAGGATAATCTAAAACCTTACGAGGTATACCAGCAAAAGGAAAAAAGTTATGTTAGTACCAATAAAAAAACAAAAAAAAGATAGCAATCATTAATAAACCATCAAAAGAAATATCATATATAAGATAATCACAAACAAAATCCACAAAAAATACCATAAACAGTCCCTAAACTTAAAGTATAATGAAAATGAGCTACAACATAATAAGTATCATGCAATACCACATCTAGACTAGCAGCTCTTAAAATAATACCACTTAAACCACCAACATTAAAAAGAAAAATAAAACCGTAAGTCTAACAAAAAGGCCATATCTTCTGATTAGAGCCAAAAAAAGTATCTAACCAATTAAAAATCTTAACAGCCCTAGGAATAGCAATAATTATAGTAGCAGCTCTAAAATAAGTACGAGTATCAATATCTAAACCAGCTGTATATATATATATATATATATATATATACATGATGACCCCATACAGATGTACCAAAAATAGCAATTCAAATAGAAGCAAAAGCTATACTAGTTTGACAAAATAAACTATCCTTGTCACTCACTTAAAAATAAAACAGCTTCACTAATAATACCAAAAACAGGCAAAATGATAACATATACCTCAGGATAGCTCAGGATGACCAAAAAAATCAAAATAAATGTTGATACAATAAAGGATTACCTCCATTCTTAGTATCATAAAAAGAAGTATTAAAATTACGGTCAAATAATAAAAATAATAACGAACCAGCTTACATAGGTACATATAACACTAACAAAAAAGAAGTTAAATAGAAGATCAAAAAAACATGCTTGCCTGATCTAAAGTAACAGAGCGAATATTCTGAGTAGTAACTATAAAATTAATAGCATCAAGTAAAGAACCAATACCTATAGTATGTAAACCCAAAATTATTGCTCCAAAGAAACTTTTGGCTGACCTTCAGCACTCAAAGGAGGATAAAAAGTCCAACTACTACCTGGGCCACCACCAATAAAAAAAGATTGATAAACCATTAATGTAAAGAAACAAAAGTAAACCAAAAAGATAAAGCATTAACCGAGGAAACGCCATCTCTGGAGCACCTTACATAACAGGTAATATTCAATTATCAAAACTACCAATTAAAATAGGTTCACTATAAAAAAAATTATTAAAACACCATGCATAGTCAAAACAGAATTATAGACTTGACCACCACCAAAAAACAAATAACCACCAGGCTTAGATAACTCAAAAAGAATAATTATAGATAACAAAGATCCACCAAAACCAGCTCAATAACCTAAAATAATATAATAAGTACCAATAGTTTTATGATTAATAGTATTAATAATTCTTTGCTTTAACACATTACTAAAAGTTATACGACAAAAAATATTCATATTAAATAACAAAAATAAACCAAAAAAAATTATAAACTATAAAAACTAATGGCAAACAAATAATAGCCCGACTATCACATATATATAACCTAACCTTATAACTAACCTTATTGCCAACCATAAAACAAACCATAACATAAACAGAATAGTAAAAAGAAACTAAATAATACACAAAAAGGAAAAAAAAAAACACCAAAATGAAAAACAGAACTAAATCAATTTAATATCATACACTCAGAAAAGAGAGAAATAAAACTATAAAATCCAAATTAAGAAACCATTACAAGAAAAATCAAACAAAATAGCATACTAATACTGAAATAACCCCGTAAATAATAAATCAATGACTTCTAGCAATATGATAAAATTCACCAATAAATGATAAAATTCCCTACTTTTCAGTGCAACGAATATGTCAAATTCATATCACATCTTATCAATGACAAATGTTTTAACGAAGACAGGCAATAGGAAAAGAACAGAACGATATGAACAGCGATATATCCATTTGTGTTAATCCATATAATCCCTGAGTGATGCCTGATCTACAATACCTATCATTGTGCAATCGCACTTTCATCCAATTTCAAGCATTCCCGAACTGATAATATTCTTTGTCATTGCATTCATATGTAGTGATAAATGTAATGATAAGCAGATATAATGAGAGCTCTGCTATAGTAATACTATACAAAAAATAGAAATTTTTTTTGTACTTCACTTAATTCCTAATTATCTTTTAGAACAGAAAGTTTTGTTATCTTGTAGATAATAAAACAACATTATATGTCTCTCATTAAGAGCACTTAGATGCATTATTGAACAGCCCTCTGGTTTCCAGAAATAATGCAACTACTTCAGTGATTTTGTATCCGTAATTTTTCGATTATGTCTAAAACCTTACATTATGTTCTTGTAGATCATGCTGATCATCAGGTTTGTTTTTGAATTGCTGTATCTTACTGATATAGCATTCTTGCTCATTTTTTTTGCTCTAGTGAAATTGGTAAAATAATGTAATTGTCCTATTATTTAATCAGTTCATTGGCATCTTAAATTAGTGTTTCTCATCTAAAATCTAAAAAAATCTTTTATAAATGAAGCAGCGTATAAAAAAAAAATGAATTTCAAATATTAATAAAACTGTTCAAAAAAAAAAAAAAAATGAGAACAATCAATATCACTATGAAATGCCGAGCCAGAAGTTATCGTTTTGCGATCTATGACCATGTCATTACTTCAACTACTTGATCCGCGCTATAAATCTGCACAATTCTTAGTCTTCAATAATTAAAAGCAGTAAATAGCAAAGAAATGACAAAATATCTTTTATATAAATATCCAACTATGTGTTCTCTTCGCTTGCCTTTAATTGCAATTTAAAACAATCTGTTGTGAATATCGTTTATTTAACCCATCAATTTAGCAAACTTTATGTATTATTTAACTTTGTTCTAATCAACTTTTTTCTGCTGCAAACATAATATAGTAAATGATCCATCCATCAATCTGATTGCAGTGAATTTATCACAATAGAGAAAGCGAAAGCATTATTCACTGAGCCATTCTCAGTGCAATGCAAGTATTTTCCAGAAATTTCTAGCCAAAATTTTATCCAAATAACGAAAATTGTTTTGGATTGCAGTTTTTTTTCTAATTTTTCAACTTTCCTTTTAACGCATTTGTCCATCTTGTCTAGTTTGAATGATTTGCTAATATCCTGAAATGCAAATAGCACAGAAAGCTCGTTTTTTTTTTATCGGCACAGAAAACTTTTGTTTTTATTTTTAATTACATGAAATAAGGC